TGTTTTTTCTCTCTACAAAGTTCTCGAATTTCTCCTCGATTTCTCTTTCATTTGCTTACGAAAATTCCATAGATGTGCTCACCAATGCATGATTTTCCAATCAAATGGAATTTTGAGGGGTGACGTTTGGATTTTTCATTGGGATTTTTTATCATCAACTCACTGAGTTGAAGTTGAAGTAGGGAAATGCTAAAGGACATGGAGAATTCTGTCAACGGCAGCTTCTTACAATTGTAGAGCTATGGGGATAGTAGCGAAGAGGAGCTATTGGGGCGACCATGTCACACTAAAACCAAGTCTTTGAGAACCCAGATTTGGGTTTGAGAAAACCCAAATATGGGTTGAGTTTGGTAAGGAAGGAAAAAATGAAGAAGAATGGGAGAAGAGAAAGAAAAAGAATAAGAAGAAGAAAGACCCTAAATCTTCAAGTGAAGATTAACAACATAGGCGAAATCACAAGTGTTCTAATGCAGCTACTATTGCTGGTGCAAAAGGAGTGCATAGGGAGAGCCAAAAAAAAGGGGAAGCTATTGTTGAAACTGGGTTGAGAGAACCCAAATCTTGGTTTGAGAGCCCAGATCTTGGTTTGAGAGCCCAGATCTGGAGAGGAAGAAGAACAGAGAAGAGAGAAGAGATAGAGAAAGAATAAGAAGAAGAAAGAAGAAGGATGAATAGAGAAAGGAAGGAAGAGGTTGATAGGGAAATGAGGAGGCCAACTGTTTGAAGGATTGAGAAAGACAGAAAGGAAAGGAGGAAGAAGATAAATTTTTTTTTTTTCTAAGGTTGAAAAATTGTAAAATAGGGATAAAAAAAATCAAATTACAAATAAAAAAAAAAACATTTTAACTTACACGTCATTTTAGAAAATGCCATGTTGGTATGTTAAAAAAATGCCATGGGAACAATATTTTCTTTGCTTGATATACACGTCATTAGGATTTAAAAAATCCAATGATTTTGTGGCATTTTAACTACCACCTGTCCTTTTAACTGCCACCTGTCCATTTAACTGACGGAAGGACTATTTTAGTACTAAAAATGAAAGTTTAAGGATAATTTTGGTACTTTTTAAAGTTGAGGGATAATTTTGGTGCCAAAGTGAAAAGTTGAGGGACCAAAATGGTATTTAAACCTAAATTTTTATAATAATAATTAATTATAAATATATATTTTAAAGTATTTTTTATAATTAATCATTTTAAATACATTAATTCATTAAAAATTTATGAATGATAGATATGAAAAGGTTTCAATGTACAAATCTAATCAATTTAATTGTAAAAAGTAATAATAAATTTTCATAATTATTAATATATTAATAAATTATGCAAATTTGTCATTCATCTATATGTATTCCTTCCTCCATACTAATAAATTATTTGATATTATTCATTTTCTTCTTTGTCATTTGCTTCTTAAATGTTACCTCACCATCTATTCACATACTATATTTTTTTCAATTTCTTAGATTAATATCATATCTTTCTCTATATCTTTTCCATGAAGCACCTTCAACTTTCTAATTTGTTTTATCATTATGCACTAATGTTATTGTTATGCATTTTAATTCTAACTTACTGCATGGATCTCTCCTCATTTCTTTCTTAAACTAATATTTGTTTACATTATTTTACACTTTCATTATTTTTTTCCATCTACTTCATCTTTACTCTCTCGTATTATTTTACACACACAAAAGAAAAAAGTTTCAATGAACAATACTATAGATTAGGGACTTGTTTGGCTGTCCATTTCCCTGAAAAAAGAATTAAGGGAAGCTAACGAAAATTGAATATGGCTTGCTTAAGAAATTTAATTTTTTAACACTTAAATTGGGACACAATATAATTAATTATAGAAGGAAAGGTAATGCATTATCAATTTCTTAATTTTAGAAAGCAAAAACCAAAGTAAAATGATTCAACCTTTTTAGTTTTGGTTGTTTTGGTCTCGATTATTATGGTTTCCATTACGGGTTTCAACCAATATTTCAAAATGGCTCGTTAACGGCAAAAAGCCACGCTAGATATCAAAGATGAGGGATGAATTATGAGGGAATATGCTTCAAGAAAGATGACAGAGGGAGGAGAAGGCAACTACAACGACAGAGAAGAGGAGGGGAAAACATCAGTAAGTGATTCTTTGTTTCTAGATCTGGAAAAAAAATGAAATTAGGAGAAGAAACTAATGAGGATAAACTGTGAGAGAGTTAGGAAAGATTTTCTCTATAGAGATAGAGAAGAGGAAGAAGAGTTAGAGAAAAAAGGTTTAAGGGAAGTGGAAGGAGAAGAAGAAGATTACTACAGTACCACCGGTGGTAAGGGTGGTGACCATGAAATGAGAGAGAAAAAAAATGTGGAAAGCAAACAAATAATTAGGTTAGATTTAGGTGGCATTTGGAAATTAATTTTAATTAATATTATGTATCAAAAAAAAGTAAATATTAGCTTGTATTGTAAAAATTTTAGTAGAAAAATATCTCAAAATTATATTATTTTAATAAATTTTTATTGAAAAAAAATTAAAACATCTTAATTATTTTTAAAATAAAAATAAAAATATTTTAGTCTTTTCTCGTAATATTTTATTAAAAAGATATAATTTTGATTTTTTTTAATTTTTTGTAAGTCTGACTAATAAACATTATTTTCATTATGTATAATTTAATATCATATTAATATATAAAATTTTTTTTAAATAATTATTAAATAATAATATAATTTCTTATAATAAAATATTATAAAAATCATAATCATATTACTTTACAATAATTTCAATTTAGATTATTAGACTCAATAGTCAAATAATTTTTTTTTAAACAAGTTCGAATTTAAGAAAAGGGATTTAAATGTAGCACTTACAGTTAGGAATGCACCTTTCTTAAAACTTATAATCAACACACCCCTTCTAGACTAGATCCAATGATAATTAGATCCAATAGATGAGAAAAAATTGATAACAATAAAAAAAATATATATTTTATAATTAAATTGCATTAAATTATAAAATATTAATTTTTTAATTAAAATTTTTATTTTATAATTTAAACTGTAA